TACCATGTCAGGGGTAACGTTGTTCTTTATATACTGAGAAAATTGTTTCTTGTAAGCATCTTCATCTTCTTCCATTAGATAGCGCATGTAATCTGCAACATTCTGACCCATAATGTGCTTCCGATGTACTTCTGCATTGAACTCCTTGCTTTCAGAATCATAACCAGGGAATCGTTTGGTACTAAAATAAAGTTTTTTTATATTTTAGTATAGATTAACTGAAATTTGTTCACCCACAGGAATTCATTTCAGTAGCTGCCATCAGTCCCGTCTTGAAACAATTATTGCATCATATGCAACCAAAGGACCAACTACTGACTGCTCAGTTAGTGGGATATCATCATTCAGCAGCTCATCTGTGAATTCCAAAGAAATTCATACCACAAACACCTTTTATTTGGAGACATTGCCCAGACTGGTCTTAAAACTCCTGGACTCAAGTACTCCCCTGTCTATTTCCCAAGTAGCCTGGACTAAGTGCCCCACCCTACTCAGTGACAAATGCCTTTAAACTATATCAAGGCTTTCTGTTAATAGAAGTTCTCCTACATATTAGCATGGAAAGCAATTTCAAACGTATCCACCAAATCCTATAATTTCTCAAGGTACCTCAGGATAAGGGAGGAATAGGAGACTTGTCCAAGATCACAATTAATGAAATCATCTAACGAGAATACAACTGGTACACTTGCACTTCACTAGCTTCTTTTTAATAGTGAGGCTTGATTGTTGTAGACAGAATGAATGCAGGACCTTATGCACTCAGCTATATCCACAGCCCTATTTAATTCTGAGACAGGGTCTGGGTTTCCCAGGCTGGCCCTGAACCTGCAAATCCTACTAAGTAGCTGGGCTTACAGATATATACTACCACACACACCCAGTTTTAGTTCAATTTTAATTTAGGCTTACCCCCCAAAATAAATAAAATGTATAAAATAAAAGTGAAACAAACAAGAATCACAAACTTTTTTTTCTTATTAGGTAACCACTAAAAAAGCTATAAATTAAAATATCAAAATGTGTGTTGAGGATGTGGCTGAGAGGTAGTGTCTGCCTGGCATGTATTAAGCCCTGAGTTCATTCCCTACTACTGCAAAACAACAAACAAAATCAAAATATTAACTCAAACCAAAGGAATTAGCAATTCAATAACCTACTTGACTTTCAAGAATGGCCTGCCATGTATAATATTATTTCCAGCTGAAAGTTTAGGTCAAATTTTATTCTAAATGGGAAAAAAAATTCTGGGGGGGGAGGGGAAATAAATGGAGTTGCTCATTTCTGATAGAAATCAAGTCATGCAAAAGATAGTGATTTCCATACCACTTATTAGCATCAAAGCCCTGGACAAATCTGTTTCTGAGTCTTGGTGTCATCATTTATAAAATGTTAGAAATCCTTCCTGCAGAGTACCTAGCATAGAGCAGGCATTCAATGATAACAACTTTATTGATCTGATAATCTCCACCACCCAGTTAAACACAGGAA